GACTTGTTTTCAAGCATGACATCAATATTTGATGTGGATAACATATATTTATCGCCCCATCGTGATTTGAAGCAAAATTGTACACGTTTAAGAAAGTCGAGGAAAATAGGGTTAAATAGGGGCAAGTACGAAAAATATAAGAACGTCTATGGAAAGACTTGTTTTCGAACACGACACCATTATTTGATGTGGATAACATATGCTCCCCGACAAGCAGTCGGTAGTGTTGATCTTTGAATAGACGTCGCATTAGTGTAGCAATCCTGATTGATAGGCTCTCACTTAGTCTCGAGCTCGGACTGTGGACTAAAAATGTAAACACCGACCTGTTAGCATAACAAAAGAAATGATATCAGCAAACAAAAAGAATGGCTTGAGGATACTTACTCGTGTCAAGAATAAAAAGGATGGGGTATGCCGAGCTGCGCCCTCGGTTCTCCATCCACCACCAACCCAAAACCACTCTGGCATATAACCATGCAGGGTCTCGCGTAGCTTGGCTACCAACGTTTTATCGATCCCTGGAAGTATATAGCCATAATGTTTCTGGTGTCACCGAAATTCTTCAGGCAGAATTATTCCTTAACCTCAACGCTAGTGGGATCGGGCCAACCCTCACGCCAGAACGTCACAATTAAGCTCAAAAGCCGAGCAAATACAGTCAGAACCAATTAACTGATGTCGGCCTCGACCTCACAAAGAATGTCGTTTAACGTGTCGGGCAGCAGAAAACAGAGTTCGAGAAGGATGCTGGTGCGATAGACCCCAATACAGCCTAGCGGTGGATAGTGAATGCGCTCCACGGCATTAGGCGCAAATTTCTACACTCATGGACCAAAATTGAACGTCTCTAGAAAGACTTATTTTCGAACACGGCACCATTATTTGATGGGGATAACATATATTTATCGCACCATCGTATTTTGAAGCAAAATGGTACACGTTTAAGAAAGTCGAGGAAAATAAGGGTAAATAGGGGCAAGTACGAAAATATAAGCAAAGTCTTTGGAAAGACTTGTTTTCGAGCACGCCACCATTATTTGATGTGGATAACATATATTTATCACCCCATCGTGTTTTGAAGCAAAATGGACACGTTTAAGAAAGTCGAGAAAAATAGGGTTAAATAGGGGTAAGTACAAAAAATGTAAGAACGTCTCAGGAAAGACTTGTTTTCAAACACGGAACCATTATTTGATGTGGATAACATATATTTAAAGCCCCATCATATTTTGAAGAAAAATGGTACACGTTTAAGAATGTCGAGAAAAATAAGGGTAAATAGGGGCAAGTACGAAAACTGTAAGCAACGTCTTTGGAAAGACTTGTTTTCAAACACCGCACCTTTATTTGATGTGGATAAAATATATTTATCGCCCCATCGTGTTTTGAAGTAAAACGGTACACTTTTAAGAAAGTCGAGGAAAATAAGGGTAAAT